GGCCATGGCCGGTGTCCTCAACGACCTGGTCATCGCGGTCCAGGGAATCCGACTCTACCTGGCCAGCCCGTACGGGCCGCCACCGCCTCTGCCGCCGGCCGTTCCCTCCGGACCGCCGGCCCTGCCCTGGTACTCGGTCCCCGCGGCAATCGCCGAGGGCTACCCGGCGCTCCAGCAGCCGGCCGCGCCAGCTGTTTCCTGGCCACAGTGGCCTGCGCCGGCGCTCGCGGCACCACCCACGCCTCCCGCGCCCGCCCCAGCCCCGCAGTGGCCGTCCTGGCCCGCGCCATCCGCGCCTGCTGCGCCGGTCCAAATTCCACTGCCGCCGCCCAGCTCCGGCCTAGGCTAGTCCACACCGGGAGGTCTCCCGATCCAGCAGGTCCGGTTCCCACCGTCACCATCTCCGATTCTGGCTTGGATCACCGGGACGTCGCCACCGCCAGTTTATACGGAGGCCGGGGACCCGTCGGTGCCCACGCTGCAGCTCGGGGCCTCGTCTGGCTCCACGGGGGCCTACGCCGGCCTCCCCACCATTGACCGGGCACCGTCCTCAGCTCTCCGCATTGCCGAGCCGGTGGGCCCTGGCATGACGACTCAGACGCCGCCCCGGTTCGCCAAGATCGACTACACCACCTATGACGGCTCGGACCGCTTAACTGGCTCAACCAGTGTGACCAGTTTTTCCGTGGGCAGCGCACGCCCGCGTCGGAGCGCACTTGGCTGGCTTCCTACCACCTCCGCGGTGCAGCCCAGACGTGGTACTACGCCCTCGAGCAGGACGAGGGCGGCATGCCCCCATGGGAGCGCTTTCGCGAGCTATGCCTCCTTCATTTCGGGCCGCCAATGCGCGGGAGCCGCCTGGCCGAGTTGGGCCGCCTACCCTTCACCTCCACGGTGCAGGACTTCGCCGACCGCTTCCAGGCCCTGGCGTGTCACGCGCCGGGTGTGACGGCCCTACACCGGGCGGAATTCTTTGTCGGCGGCCTTCCCGACCACATCCGCGTGGACGTCGAGCTGAAGGGGCCCCAAGACCTCCAGACGGCCATGTACTATGCTCGGGCATTCGAGCGTCGCGCCCAGGCCTTGACGCCGACGCCCTCGTCTCGTGGGGGCCGGCACCCTCCCCGCCCACCCCCGCCAGCACCCACGCCTTCGATCGCATCACCGGCAGCCACCCCGGCCGCGACGCGCCCTTTCCGGCGCCTCTCTCACGCGGAGCAGCTCGAGCGCCGGCGCTTGGGGCTTTGCTTTAACCGTGATGCGCCCTATGCCCCGGGCCATGTCTGCCCGCGCCTCTTCTACTTGGAGACGACCGACGAGACCGAGGATGACACACCCGGTGATGGACTCAGCGACCCAGCCACCACAGAGCCAGCGCCTGCACCCGCGCCCGCTCCGGCGACGGCCCTCATCGTCTCGCACCACGCGCTGGCCGGCATCCGTGATGAACGGATGATGCTTTTACCGCTCACGATCCAGGGCGAGCGTCTGGTGGCCCTCTTGGACACAGGTTCCACGCATAACTTCTTGCCTGAGGCCACCATGCGGCGCCTAGCACTACAGCCGACAGGCAGGGAGCAGCTGCAGGTCACCGTCGCTAATGGCGACCGCCTCCGCCGCCATGGGCTCGCATGAGACGTGCCCATCATTATCGGCGACGAGCACTTCACCATCACATGCGCCGACATTGACTTGGGCTGCTTCGACTTCATCCTCGGCGTCGACTTCTTGCGGACTCTCGGTCCCATCCTTTGGGACTTCGACGCCCTGACGATGACCTTCTGGCGTCTCGGCCGCCGCGTCCGGTGGGAGGGCATTAGAGGCACCTCGGCGACGCCCCCACTCTAGCTGGCCGCGGCCACCACCGAGGCCAAGCATCCGCTGTTGGACCACCTCCTGCAGCAGCACCCTGATCTCTTTGAGGAGCCGCAGGGCCTTCCACCAGCCCGGGTCTACGACCACCGTATTCACCTCCTGCCGGGCTCGGCACCGGTGGCAGTACGGCCCTACCGGTACCCTCAGCTGCAGAAGGACGAGTTGGAGCGGCAGTGTGCCCTCATGCTTGCCGCGAGCATTATCCAGATCTCCACGTCGCCATTCACGGCGCCGGTCCTCCTCGTTCGCAAATCGGACGGCACGTGGCGTTTCTGCATCGACTACCGCGCTCTTAATGCTCTCACACTTAAGGACAAGTTTCCTATCCCGGTGGTCGATGAGCTCCTGGATGAACTGCATGGGGCGCGCTTCTTCACCAAGCTGGATCTTCGGTCAGGGTACCATCAGGTGCGCATGCACCCAGACAACATCGCCAAGACGGCGTTTCGGACTCATCACGGCCACTTCGAGTTCTTGGTGATGCCTTTTGGCCTCTCCAACGCCCCGGCGACCTTCCAGGCCCTGATGAACAATGTCCTCCGGCCCTACTTACGTCGCTTTGTGCTCATTTTCTTTGATGACATTCTTATCTACAACGCCTCTTGGGCAGAGCACCTCCAGCATGTGGCCATCGTCTTCAACGAGCTTCGGGCGCGCCATCTTCATCTTAAGCGCTCGAAGTGCTCGTTCGGGACGCCTTCTGTCGCTTACCTCGGCCACGGCATCTCGACCAAGGGGGTGGCCATGGACGCCGATAAGGTGGCGGCCGTCGCTGCCTGGCCGATTCCGCAGTCTCCGCGGATTTCTGGGCCTCGCGGGGTACTACCGAAAATTCATCCGGGAGTTTGGCTTCATCGCGGCCCCTCTCACGCGCCTTCTCCGTCGCGACGCCTTTTCTTGGGATGAGGCCACCACGGCATTCGAGGCCCTCAAGGGGGCCCTCGCGACGGGTCCTGTCCTGTAGATGCCTGATTTTGACCTACCATTCACCGTCGACTGCGACGCCTCCGGTGCGAGGTTCGGTGCAGTCCTTCATCAGGGCGATGGACCCCTCGCCTTCTTCAGCCGCCCTTTGCCGCTCGCCATCTAAAGCTGGCGGCCTATGAGCGCGAGCTCATTGGCTTGGTACAGGCGGTGCGTCACTGGCGGCCCTATCTTTGGGGTCGCTCCTTCCGGATCCGTACGGACCACTACAGCCTCAAGTTCATGCTAGACCAGAGGCTCTCGACCGTGCCGCAGCACCAGTGGATCAGTAAACTCTTTGGGTTTGACTTCACTGTCGAGTATCGTCCGGGTCGCCTTAACACCGTCGCCGATGCCCTGTCTCGGTGTGACGCCGACACTGCCGACGGTGCGGCTGAGGGGGCGGCCTGCTGCATCATCACCGGGCCCTCCTTCGCCCTCTTCACCGACATCCGACGGGTGACAGCAGCAGCGGCCGACGCGCTCCTCCTTCAGCAGCAGCTGGCTGCGGGGGAGCTGGATGAGCCATGGCGCCTCGCTGATGGCCTGCTCCTCCATGGGCGCCGGGTTTTTGTTCCGTCGCACGACGATCTCCGTCATCAGGTGTTGCGCCTCGCCCACTTGGCAGGCCATGAGGGTGTGCAGAAGACACTCCATCGTCTCCGCGCCGACTTCTACATTCCAGGTGATCGTGCCCTGGTCCGTGACTGGGTACGGTCTTGTGTGACGTGCCAACGCAACAAGACGAAGACTCTTCAACCGGTTGGCTTGCTCCAGCCTTTGGAGGTGCCGTCCCAGGTCTGGGCGGACATTTCCATGGACTTCATCGAGGGCCTCCCCAAGGTGGGCGACAAGTCCGTCATTCTCACGGTGGTCGATCGCTTCTCCAAATATGGCCACTTCATCGCGCTCGGTCATCCTTACACGGCGGCGTCTGTCGCTCGGGCCTTTTTCGACGGTATTGTCCGTCTCCACGGGTTCCCATCTTCGATCGTCAGTGATCGGGACCCCGTGTTCACGGGACACGTGTGGCGTGACCTTTTCCGGCTGGCAGGCGTTAAGCTCCGCCTGAGCACAGCCTTCCACCCTCAGACGGACGACCAATCCAAGGTCGTTAACAAGGTGATTGCCATGTATTTGCGTTGTGTTACAGGTGATCGCCCTCGCGCATGGGTGGACTGGCTATCGTGGGCGGAGTACTGCTACAACACCTCTTATCACTCCGCCCTCCGTGCTATGCCTTTTGAGGTGGTTTATGGCCGGCCGCCCCCGCCGATTCTTCCTGTTGATCCGGCCCTGGCACGGACCAAGGCGGCCGGTGCTCTTCTGGGCAACCGTGACGAGATGCTGGCAAAAGTCCGGCAACGCCTCCTTCAGGCCCAGCAGTTGGCCACACACTACTACGACGACAACCATCGCGAGGCGGAGTTCGCGGTGGGGATTGGGTGTGGCTGCGTCTACTTCATCGCTGTACGCAGTCCCTGGACCCCCGCGCGAAGAGGAAGTTGGGTCCTCGCTATGTCGGTCCCTTTGCTATCCTGGAACGCATTGGGAAAGTGGCTTACCGTCTTCAGCTTCCGGCAGGTGCGCGGATCCATGATGTCTTCCATGTGGGTTTGCTCAAACCCTTCCGTGGAGAGCCACCCGCGGTTCCTCCCGCACTGCTGCCGGTCACCGACGGGCGTCTACTTCCTGAGTCGGAGAAGGCATTGAAGGCGCAGCTGCGTCGCGGCTCCTGGTACGTGTTGAATCAGTGGGCTGGACTTTCAGAGGAGGACGCTACTTGGGAGCAACGCGAGGAGTTCCGCCAACACTACCCCGACTTTCAGCTTGAGGATGAGCTGTTTGCGCAGGCGGGGAGAGATGTTATGACCGGCCGGACCTACGGCCGTAGGAGGCCCACCGGGCAAGCTTAGCCCGCAAGTTATCTTAGTTTTTATTTCATGTCATGGTTATATATACAAGTTGTAAGACTGTTTTGAGATTTAAGCAATAAGACACCCTAGCCGCCTCCTGTCTTCGCCGCCGCCGCACCGCGCAAGGACGGCGCCACCCCGCCGGCCGCCGCGCTCCAGCCCTCGCCCGCCTCCCTCGTTCCCCTACAACCTACGTCCGAGACCGGGAAGAACCCTAGCTCCTATCACATTTCATTTGTTTTCTAGTCACAAAAGATGTACAAAACTTGAACTAAATCATGGCTCACTTAAAATATCACGTATGTTTGTCTTAGTCTCACAAAATTATGCACTTTTTGCACCACGGGACATCATTTCATAAACTCTAAATCCTCAAGTACTACCACTTGTATTTTATTTTTTAGCATTTATTTTTAAAGTGATACACAAGGAGAACATACCCTTGATAAAACCAAGATGCTCCACCATCCAGAGATATCACCAGGTCCTTCACAGAACAACCACATTGCGTGGCGTTCAGAGCCAAACTTCCATTATAATTCTTGATTTCCATGGTTATCCCAACTTCCATTCCTTGAACCTTACACACGTGGAAAATTCATGAGTTGCTTCTTCTCATTAGCTGAACAGATAAACAACAACTAAAGATAGAATAGAAAGTAACCTTAGAATCTTAGTTGACTAGGAAGCTCCTAGTTTACATGATGCAATAATAGGATATCATCATAATTCATAAGTCATATAGAGAGCATATCTTGAATATAATATGAAGCATTACCTATCATTTGACTAGTTATTTCAGATTTTAAGACCATGATGTTGATGATAGTTATTAGACTTATTCCTCAAGCATAACTTTAACTGTCGAGAAAAATCAGTAAAGGGACAATGATGTGTAGTGTTTCGCCACACTCAATGATTTGATTTTCAGATGTTTATGATCAAGTTTTTATTGTTTCCAAAAGATAACATAGACTTCACAATATTCTTCAAGCAATTAAAGAAAAACGAATGGTATGTAACAACCAGAAACAAAACAGAGCCAGTAGGATAGTACTGGTCTCCAGCTTGTAATTGCTGTATCAATGAGTATCCTCACCCTTAAAGTACAATTCTTACACTATACCCCTGCTGTCCATTCTTTGAGCCATCAAATTGAAGAGATTGTCAGGAACTAACTCACACTTCAATACACTAGACAGTTAGGTAAACTCAAACTCATAAGGCATACAAAAGTACTACTAAAAGTCGCGGTTCTTAAGCACGGAACTCGCACAATTCACATAACCACCGTTAGAAGTTAGAAATATCCAAGCCCGGGCGCTTATGTTCTGGTGTCAAACTAGTGCTAGCATACAAATTCAATGATGCCGTCAAAATAAATCAACCAGAGTTCACACCGAATTTCACGACAATGGCAAACCAAATCTAGCACATTCGACACCAAATCCCGCCCCCTTCTGGCCCGCAATAGCCAAAGGAAATTAGTCGATTACCAGGATCGAAGCGGTGCCTCTGTCGGAGATCTCCACGGGGAAGTACCAGGAGTAGTAGGAGTAGCTCCAGGCCATGCTGATGTTGGCGGTAATGCCGGAGGCGACGACGACGAGGGCCGAGTCGCCGAGGCGGACGACGGAGTTATCCCCCACGTCGAGGTGGAAGAGCGTGATGCTGGAGACGGCGGCGCGGATGCCGCCGAGGAAAGGCACGCGGAAGGCCTTCTCCGCCCCGGGGAGGCGGAGCGGGGTGAGCGACCGCACCGCCTCGCCGATCAGCACGTCCTTGGCGAAGGCCAGGCCTGTGTCGCCGATCACCGCGGAGAGGTGCGCCTCGTCGCCGGTGGCCGCGGCGGAGGCGAAGAGGGGCAGGAGGAGGAGGAGGAGTAAAGGGAGGAGGTGGTGATGGGCCATGGCGGGTGGGCGAGGGGGAGGAGGCGGGCGGCGGAAGGAAGGAAGGCAGGTAGCAGCGGCAGTCTGGTGTACTCTGAGTCATCATCGATTCGCGGAGTTCCAAATCAAATCAATAAGGACTAGGAAAAAAAAACATGCTTCCTGCAGTTATTAATTAAAACAGAATAAAGAACACATTTATCTGCATCACACGGTAAATATAAGTTTCTAAAATTACGTGCGTGCCATAGCTGTAAAGAAAACAAAAATAACGAGGTTCTTTTGGCAAAAAACGTTATCCTTAAGCGGGCGGATGCACACACAACATCCGCCGCCTGCATAGCCGTTAGATTGATTTTGATCGAGCGCTCGCGCTGACCACATGTCCCGTGCTGCCGTGCAGCTAGTTGTTTTTATAACAAGCGTCTTGTTTCAGAAGCTTCCTGCAATAGAGATCTTGTTTTCAGAAAAAAAAAAGGGGGTGGTGGCGAAGTTTTTCTTTCCACAATAAGGTCTAGTTTCAGAAAGTTTTTGCAACAGAGGTCTTGTTTCAAAAAAAAAATTGTATTGTTTCAAAATATTTTCTCTTCTGCAACAGGGGTGTTGTTTCAGAAACATAGCCCCGGTTGCAGAAAGCGCCGCGCGTTAGAGTGTACAAGTTTCAGAAACATAGCTCCGATTGCAGAAATCGCCAGAGGACTGCCTGGTGTGAGAGTTCGTTGTCGGCGTGCTGGAGTAGAGGCAGCTGCTCGGGGTTCTGGGTCGGAGGAGGCGCGACAACTCCAGCGGCCGGCGATGCTCCATGGTTAAGGCGCTCAAGCCATGGCGAGGTAGTGGTGCTATCTCGGTGGACCTTTGCAACAAGGTCTTTGTTGCAAAGCCATGAGCGCAACAAGCTAGTTGTTCAAGGGTCCCAATTGGCTGGGACGGTAGATCGGACGGCTGTTTTGGGCGGCATTCGACGGTTGTCGAGGTGGCTGATTTTATCCGTTTATCACTTGACGGACGCGTAGCATTGCCAATTAATGATTTATTTTCCTTTAAACTGTAGGAAAGTAATAACGTCTTACACTATGGGACGGAGGGGGTATCACTCTTAGGAAGAAAAAAAGAATTTATGAGTAAAAGCATAAAATATCAAACAAGTCCCCATAAAAGAAAAATCGAAGGAACAAAAACTATGATAAAATCCTTTTAAAAGGAAGACACCATAAAACCGTATGAGGAAGGTATATATATAGAGCCTAAAACATATAGACACAATTCACATTTGCAATCACATATTTGGAATAGGTCTTCCTAATTTCCCCTATTTTGCAAAGGTTATATAAAGGAATTTTAGAATTTAAACCTTTGCAGCTTGTAATTAGCAAGTCAATCCTAGTTGTAATTATACACAAATGATTCTTTCTTCCCGATAAAGAAAGAAATACTCATAGGCGTTTAGAGTTTCCTGCCTCCTACTGGCGCTGTCGTCGATCTACCTCATCTCTTGTAGCCTTAGGGTCATCGAAATGCGGTGGATCTCGGTCCTTGCCGGCTGAAGGGCTCATGCTTGGATTTTAGGTGTTTTTTTGTCTGCTTAGGGTTTGTGTCCTGTTTAGGAAGGCGAGGCGACGACGACTCACTGGAGATGGAATAGGGGTTTTCTCCGCTTAGCCCCGTTCCGGTGGTGCGTCCGTGTCATCGGAGGGCGTGTGGAGGTGTGTCTTTGGTGGATTTCACAAGATTTCGGTTGGTGTTTGTCTTCGTTGGATTTGCGTGGATCCGGTCTTATTCATCTATGTTCATGTGTCTATAGTTGGATCCTTCCGATCTACGATTCTCTATCAGCGACGATTTTTGTTCTGGTGCGTTGGTCCTTTAAGGTCTTAGCACGAAGACTCCGACTGTCTAGTATAAGGAGGTTTGTCCGGTTCCGGTGAGGGAGTGGTGACGACGGCGACACGAATTCGGCTCGCTCCAGTACTTATAGTTGTCCTAGATGGTCTATGAATATGAATGTAATTATTGTTCGTGTTCTTTTATACTGCCACGATGTTTGTGAATAGATTTGAGTTTTTCAAAAAAGAAAAAAAGAATCATAGTTGCAATTGTAGAGATGAGAGTGCAAACAGTCTCCGGATGTGTTGTTGGCATTCTTCGCCCAAAAAAAATGAGTCTAACCACGATACAGATCTTTGGGACATGGGTCCAGCGCACTCGCTAAGCCATATTAATTTTGAAACATGTCTAAAACAAACAATTCTATAACTTATTGTGACAAACATCATCAAGTGTTCTACTTATGTATGAAGTTTCACGAAGAAATGACTTCCGTGCTCTTTTGGGGAAAAGAACAAAATTGCAACTTCAAAAACCTTAAACAGTACTCTCTTTGTAAAGAAATATAACAGTGTAATCTAAACGTTCTTATATTTCTTTACGAAGAGAGTAATTTTTATATAGAACCGAATTCGTTTTCTTTCGCGCAGAAGACCACTTCTTCGTGAAACTTTACATGTTAGTATAACACTGGACCATGTTCACATTGAAAAATGTTTCAAAATTATTTGACTTTTTTTGCTATTTTAAAATTATCTTTTAACATGGGTGCGCCTAGACAGAGATTCCGTGGGGTATTTTCGAGTCTAACTAGTATTTCTTTAGAGCATCTCCAGCCGTTGGAGCCCCCAAGAACAGTCGCCGGACCGAAAATAGCACGTCTTGGGGGGCAAAACGCTTCCGCCGGCGTTTCCATGAATCTGTGTTCCCAGTCGTTGGCGTCCTCAAAAGAATCGCTGGACACAAAGCGCTTGGATGGGCCAGAAAAAAGAATGCGTGGAGGAGTAGGATTGGCCGTTGCCTCCACCGGCGCCCCAGGAGCCCTCCAGCGCGTTGGGTCTGGGCTGGGTTTGCCGGCGCTAGTATGAGG